ATCAGAAAGTAGGTAAAGCATCAACAACAAAGCAAAACGTGCACATTTTCACAATATTAGCATCATGACATTTTAAGCTGAAGGACAAACCAAATTCTCTTTGATTTACAAATCACGTCCTATCTATTTTTTATTATTATCATTTTTATTTATTCATTTTGTCTTTTCAGCAAAGCAATATTAGATCATAATTTTATGAACATGATCTTTTTGTTCGGTCACAACAACATGTAAAAACACATCAGCTCTTTAAGCTCAGTAACTAGTGCTTTGATCTAACTGCTAACATCAGCATGGTAATGTTCCCAATGACAATGCTAACGTTGCTCATTATTCATTAGATTAAGCAGGTATGATTACATTGCACTGTGCTAATTAGTGTTGAAAACACAGTGCAGCTGAGGCTGCAGGTAGGGGAGACAGGGGGCAATTGTACCGTTTTTTGGTGTTGATGTCATTACTCAAAAACCTTCTGACCTTTTTGGACACAGATGTTATGTGGGTAACTTGTATCTATGTTCTGCTTGTTGACATTCATTGATTGTTTTACAAGCAATGAGTCACACTATTGATTGAAACACTAGAAGTCAAACATTTTATCTTATATATATAATTAATCATGACTAGTATGAGACATCAGTTTGTCCTTTGGCAGGCAGAGAGGGATCCTCCTGGTCCATGTGCATAATGAGTTTCTTCTTCTTCTTCTTCTTCTTCTTCTTCTTCTTCTTCTTCGTGGAGTTTAACGGAGGTTGGCCACCTTTACAACGGGCATTACCGCCACTCATAATGAGTTTTATGTGTCTGTCTCATTTCTGATTGGTGCCATTTGAGATGTTAAAACTGCCCCTTGTTACAGTTGCCCCGGTCTCCCCTATTTGGTCATAAACAGAAATATTGTACAAATTAAGAGTCTGATCTGATTACAGCGCTACATGAAAAGTTAATAAAATTCATATTGAGGGGGACATTAATGGCTGTACTAAATTTTATGGTAATCCATCCAGCAGTTGTTGAGACAAAGTGGTGGACCAACTGACTGACAGACCACGTGGATTGTCCAGACACTGCCGTCCCTGAAATCTAAAGAGCTCTCATGTCTGGATATTTGCTGTGCTGTGTCACACTGAAAAACGTCATGCTGAAATCTTATTTTATTCATGTATTTATGTATTTACTTATTTATTTGACCCAAGGCAGCACACTCTACTTTGAGTATTTTTAACTCTCTAAAGGTCAGAAACCAGTGAGACACATTTTATTTAGCATCCCTAATTGTTTTGGTTTTTAGAAAAGAGGTTTGTATTTTAAATTATTCAGCACTGAGGCTAAAAACAAAGAAAAAACCTGCACCACTATCCTCTGACAGCCCCCCTTGGTGTTCAGTTGTTCTTCTCCATCTGTTAAGTTTCTTTTTCTGTGTAACAGCTTCAGATTTTACACCCCGATGACATCATAGCGTTGCGTCCACCATGCAGTTCTTTTTCAATTAGCAGCTCTCAGCACGAGCATCAACACCCAGCAGTGTGTACCTGAAAATAAAACTAAATCTGTTAAATTTAATCTCAGGATGAGGTGATTCTGGAGGACAATGCATATAATATGTGAAACTGTCCTCCTGTTGAAAAAAATTTAAAGCACAGCTTGTTGAGTGTGGAACATAATGCTGCTTCTAGCTGTTTGCACCCTTACAGTGGAGTTAAATCTAAACCACAGAGGAAGAAGCAATGAGTGGATGTCTGCTGTCTGAGCCACCAGATGTTGCTGTAGTGCAAGACTAACCTGTAGAGACTCATAGACAGGCTGGTGGGCATCTGGAATGAAAGAAAAGCTGCGAAACAAGCTGTATTTCTAACTTCCTGCAAACTCAGCATTTGGAAGATTCAAGGTTTGAACACAAGAGAAGATTTGGCTGATGTTAGGTGTAGCGTGACACCATCACGTTCAGTACAGATGACAAGTCTCGCTTCAGCAAGAAATAATGCAAAGCAGAAAGCACAAACTGTTACAACTTTGGCTAAAGAAAATTGTCAGAGTGGAAAAAAACTTGAGTGTGCCCCCCCCCCCCCCCCCCCCCGCCCAGAGCTCAACCACATGTGGAATTTCTCATCTGTGTGTATTTTCACCATTTGCAGGTTTGCTGGATAATTTTTCCCATGTTATCTCTCTCTCTGACTCTCTCTCTCTCTGTCTCTCTCTCTCTCTCTCACACACACACACACACACACACACACACACACAGACAGCTATCTGTCATCTGGTTGAACATGAAAAGTCCTCCAAGTATCCAAGTAACACCCCTCTAACTCCCCATCCCACCATGTCAACCAGTTCACAGTAAATGGCGTGTTGCCAGTAGTGGAAGAAGTGCTCTGATCCTTTATGTAAATAAAATTGGTGATACTGAAGTGTAAAAATACTCCATTACAAGTAAAAGTTCTCCTTTCAAAATGTACAATACTAAAAAATACAGTATTATCACCAAAGTATATTTAAAGTTATTTTTGTTATTGTGCAAAATGGGCCCTTTCTGAGTATTATACTATACTATCACTATTATATTAGAATAATTGACAGTGAAAATTGTAAGTTGCAGCCCTTCATCAAAAATGAACCTGAAAGGTATATTATGCAGGAATTTCCTTAAAAAAAAATCAAATGTTTGGACTCAAAGAAAAGACAGCTATGAACATTTTGGACACAGTGCAGCATAATGCAAATATAGTAAGGGTGAAACATAAAGCGCATTGGATCTAGGGTTGGCTTTCACTTTTACTTTCGCTTGGCGATATGGTTTACAAACAGTAACCAACAATTCCTGCCTTGTATACCTTTAAAGGTACAGTTTTTAGGATTTAGGAGGATTTACTAGCAGAAATATTACAGGAATATTATATAATAAGTATGTTTTCTTTAGTGTATATGCACCTGAAAATAAAAATTGTCGTGTTTTTTTTTACCTTAAAATGAGCTGTTTCTATCTGCGTAGGAAGCTAGTCCTCATCCACGGAGTCAGCCATGTTGAATGTTTGCCTTGTTTCTACAGTTGCCCAAAACGGACAAGCTAAACACTGGCTTTAGGGCTATTCAGGTTTTAGCTTTTTTTGTATTTTTGCATTCTCACAATTCACGTCAGCCATGTAGTTAGCAGCTTATCTGGGATGTCGAACAGATTCAGAAAAACACAGATTTTTAATGCGAAACTGCTTTACCTATTGTTTTTAGCGATATAAATCACAGCGTCCGTTTGTTTTAGAGAAAATGAGACCTCTGAGGGAAATTCGAGGTAAAAACCTCCTGAACGTCTGTATCTTAAGGTATCGGCGAGAAAAATAAGAGCACACAAAAGCTGGTGTAAGGCTAGTGGCCTATCTGTGACGAGCAGAACAGTGTCAGAAAAAATTGTAATAATTTATTTGTAAAAATTTGTAAAGAATAGTAATGTGAAACTGCTTTATTCATCGTCTTTACTAGAGACCTCTGTGGATAACTCGGCTGTTAAATGATGAATTCTCACTGCTCCTTTAAGTAAAATTCCAGAAGAAATCATCACTTTCTAAATGACTTTCCTTTCCTGATTAAAAGGAGCAAGGTCTGAAATATGGAAGAATTGAAATGTCAAAACTAAAACAAACCCAACAAAGAAAGACATTGAAATACAATACAAATTCTTTAGTGTATTTTATTTTTATTTATGCATTCACTGTTTCATAATTAAAATGGAAAACATATGTTACCTTTTGGTCTTTAATAACTAAATTTATTTTTCATGGTGACATCATGGGAAACAACAACATGGGAAACCATGTATAAGATGAGTAGGTGTAGTTCCCTTCAGTGATGTCCAACAGGGGGCGGCATCACGTTAATTCTTTGTTTGATTTATCTCAATCTGGGCATTTTAAATCTTCCATATTAAGAGGCTACTTCTGATTTACTGTGTACATCTACAAAGAAAAGTAGATTTTCACTATGTGGTTCTCTTCTTCCTCATTCTGTGTTCTATTGATTTGACTGATTATACAGTATATGATTTACTTCTAATATAATTTGAACTCAAATACCGCATGTAAAAAGGCAGCTGACTGCTTTTGAACTTTCATGCAGTTACAGTTTGTGTGCAGGAAAGAGGAAATGTTCAACTGCAACGAAACCATTTTCAGGTTGTGATAATCATTAACCCTGTAGATGTCCTGGTGGTTGAATATTAGACTTCAGTCCTGCAGTTGAAATGATATAAAACATAGCTGACATGAACGTGTTCCAGTGTGTCTTCACACCTATATTTTTATGACCGTGGGCTCAGTCCCTCCTCATAGTGTTTTCACCTCTGATGTCATCATTATATCTCAGAGCCCCGCCAGGTCCTGATTTGCTCATGTCGACAAGGCCGACATGGTTGGAATGCCTTGGAGAGAGTGCCTCTCCTTGTTGTCATGGAAACCGCCTGGATGTACAGATAGCCTATGTGCTGAAACCATACACGAGGACAGGAGTCAGTTCCAGATGTCTCAATTTACATTTTCAACTTCCGGAACAAAATGTTGCGATGTGTCATGACCTCTCCCTCTCCCTCCTCTTTATTGTGTCTTCACATGAAACTCAGCAGAGAGGAAGGGTTTACATTCCACAGCTGCCTCTTTCACTTTCAGACACAAACATCACCAGTTTGAATTAAGGCAATAAATAATCTCCTACATATGCCTCACTGCTCTCTAATTACTGTAACTCCCTTCCTGTGCTCACTCTAACTGCACTGTTCTCGAGGATTTTTTATCACCCCTCCCTCCCTCCCTCCTTCCTAATCCTGTCTCGTTCTTTAGTGGTAGAGGGAGAAATTTGGAGAATTCTTTTCAGTGACCACACCAAACTCTCCAGTCACATGCCCTCTTTTTCCTTCCCGTCCTTCTCCTAAATAAGGAATTACAATTTGAGTGGGGAAAGAGAGAAAGAGCAAAGGGGCGGGCCATAAGTGAAATAAGAGGACGTGAAGGCATATCTCTCTCTCTCTCTCTTTCTGTTGAATGTGGTGAAGTCATATATTTCAGACAAGGGTGTTTGCTGTATTTATGTTGGCAGTCCTGTATGGTGCACTCTGCACTGTGTTGTAAGAGAGAAGAATAGCGGGAACGCAGAAACACAAGCCCACCTGTATTCACCTGAAAGCTACTACACAAAGTAAGTAAACACTTATTCTTCTTCTTTTCTCTCATCCTCTTCCATCAATCTCAGTTTTATGGTTTCTTGCTGGCAGTCAGAAGATTTCTTTGTTGCTTTAAGCTTGTGGTTAACTCTGTGAAGGAAACATGAAAAAATGAGGTGTAATGTATCACACACCCCACCCTCACTTTCTGTCTCCATCCCTCTTGCTCGTATTTGATCATACACAGAATAAGACTAAACACCAAGTTATATTTTAGTTTTCTGTGTGGACTAGATGCCTTCTGAGTGACCCACTGGTCTGTAAGTTTACAGTCTTACATAATCCTGCTTCTTATCTACCTTTGCTCTCAGCATTCTTCTCTTGTGCTCAAAAATGCCAGGCCTCATAGCTCCAGGTTCAGCCTCAGACAAGTCTTTCCTTCTTCAACATGTAGCCAATACTGTCTAATAATATGTCATTTTCTAGTTTAATACGTGCTCTGAACACCACGCTGCTGGTGCAGGATGTGGCAGTAAAACTCTGCATGTGTTTGTCACATATGTTGTCACATTTACGGACCATAGTAAAGTTTTATGTGCAAGTCAGCGTTTTAGACTGCAAGATAACTTACAGTCCTTGACTTCGGGTGGTGTTTGGGCTGCTCTCACTATCCTCAGTGATAAGGTAGAAATACAGAGAGCTGAATTAACACTCTCGGTCAACAGCAGCTAGGAGTATATAAAGGCAAACGTGCATATGGACACTGTAAGACAATCGTGTGAACTACTTAATCCACAAAGGTGACAGAATGACCTGTAAGCCTCGTGCAGAGCTAATGGATCACAAGCTGCGATGAGTTGAGATGGTATCTATTTGACTCAGAAAATAACTACAGATGATGTGGTTTTATGCAGCCATGTTGCAATTACAAGAACTGCAAGTTACATAGAAAAGCTCAAGAATTTGGGCGGGAGGTGAGAATGACGAATATAAGAGTAACAACTGGAGTCTGAGTAAGACACTTAACCCTCAAATGACACATAGGAGCTGCTCAGAGTAGCAGTCTGGTATTGAAGAGTGCCACCGTGTAAAGCTAAAGCAGAAGATTAATGGAAAAATTATAGAGATAAAAAAAAATTAAGTCAGAAGTGCTTTGCTTTGACTTTTGAGTTGATACAAGTATGACCTGAACAGTGAGAACATTTATAAGGAACTACTCGACACTTAAAAAAATACAAATATAGTTGTGGTAGAGCTAGTTTTACACACTGAGTAGATAACAATAGTCACATTGCAGAGGCCAACTACGTGGTGAGATGTTGAGCTCTGAAGAAAGCAGATCAAAGGTTCATTTATAAAACCTGTTGAACAGGGGTCTTTAATGTTGTCAGGCCAAAGCCCCTGCAGCAGGGCCTCCCTACTACAAATATTGTCTAACACTGAATTGCATATATGGTTGGCCTACAATAATGTGTAGAGTGGCCTAAGGTCATGTACAGTATAAACGTACATTTTTCTGGTGCATACAATACTAAGCTAGTAATATAATGATTATTGACAGATTCCTGTATTTATACATAATGTTTCAGTGTTTAACATACATGTGGAAGGCACAGTGATTTACTGTAGGTAAGCTCTCTTCCATGACAGGAGGATTCATGGGCAACAAGCGTCAACCTCCAGGGTCAAAAGATTAAGCCAACAGGGAAGTGCGAAGAACTGCGGTTCCTTGAACAGCCACTTGAGGCTGGCTCTAAAAACGAGTCAACCCCGATAGACCCCGCTGTTAAAATGGCCATCTACACAGCAGAAATAAAAATGTTAACAGCCTGAAATAAAAAAATGTTTTTTTCTCTGTAGTTAATTTCCCCATTTATGACAGGGGGACAGTATGTAAGTAACTCCAAGGTTTACATTTTATTAAGGCTTAAAGTTACACCTAATAAAGAGCGGGCTGCTCTGAGTGACAGACTATCCGCCGATAGTGTTTTCAGATCCACCCCTTAATCCTCCACAGCGACAGCCTCTCACCCAAATATGGTCAGTTCTGGCTCCAAATAACCAAGATGGTGACAGCCAAATTGCCAAACTTGAGACTTCAAAATGGGAGTCTACATACCAGTGGGTGATGTCACAGTAACTACATCCATTATTTTTTACAGTCAATAACTGTAAATTAAATTGTTTGTTTTTTCTGGATAGGAAGGCAGATATGAATCTATCTCTGGTAATAATATTTTGGACACATGTAAATGTTTATTTTCAGACAAATTTAAAATTTTGCAGAAAAAAACAACAACAATAATTTGGCGCCCCCCTGCAGTAACTGCAAGCATCCCTTAACACATTCAACACATTCAGTTCAGTTAGATGTGGAGTTTTGAAATTAAGGACTAAAGACACTAATTTAGAAATATGTTGATTTGAAATGAAAATGTGTTGCCTTAGTTACCTTTTTGGCATGTATGAGCAAATCACTGACCAGTTTATAATACTTGTTTTGCACAGTACCCTCAGCAGCACTAACAGCTGTTTATCCACATCTTGGTGTTTGTGGGGTGTTGTAGCTGTGACTCTGTGATCACCAAATGTCCCCGGTAACTACTAGGCCGCTCCCAGTTGATTTCAGAAGTGTGCATATCTACATAATCCTCCAAAACACACATTCAAACACCTGGACAAACACCCTACTTGATTAGCCTGTGCAAATATGCGAGACTGCAGTCTATTTTATGAAAACATTCACAGTAAATATCTGTCCTAATGGTAGATGTGCTCAGTGCAGAGTGACAGCAGCATGACCCAATCTTGTGGCATCAAATCAGTGGTTTTTAGAGAGCTAGACTTCACCAAAGAGTAGACTCTCTCATCCCTTATTATTCACTACATGCAGACATAAGTCCTGATGTTTGCAGCTGCTGGATGTTCCCTGGATGCGTCAGGACAAAACAGATGGAAATGTTGTGATTGAGAAAGAGATTGTCTAAGAGTTTGGATGTTTGGATATTTACTTCACCCTTGTTGCTGTTACAAACTGGTTTTGCGGTTATTTAGGGGACAGGAAGTTGCTTCTCCTCCACATGCCCCTACAACCACTGCAAGCTCACACAATGAACAGAACCACAAGTGTGATGTATGGCAGGAAGGGCTCCAGTGTGGAGCTGTTAGACACAAGGACAATTTGTCATACTATCAACACATATTGTGTAAGACTGAGAAGCCTCTGTTTTGCAAGAGATGTAATAGGTGTGCTATGTAGATTATGCTGCATATTAAACCCAGAGTCAAAAATAAAACTCAGATTCTTGCACACAGCGCTACATGAAAACCAGCCTCATTAAAATGTAACAAAAAACGTACAGTTTCCATATATTTGCAGAACATACATAGCATAAATATGTATGCATATACTTGGGCAGAAAGTAAGAGTGGAGGACTTTCCTATCGGCTCTAAACATCTCCTTATGTTATCTGCTTTCCGTCTTCAGAAACCTCACTGAATTGCATAACTCAGCTAATCTGATCTGCAAAAGCAATAACTTCAGCGTGGTGCTTAACATGTACCGACTTGTACTTTTATGTTTTAACGACGGAGAGGTTGGTTTTTATGTTATTTATTTATTTATCTTTGCTTAAAGGCCGTTCCCATGGTGAGCAGCAGTGTGTTGTTTTGTTTAGACTCCTGTATATACATAGCTACCTTTGTCAGGGAGGGAGGAAGGAAGTGACAGCCGCATGAGCAAACAGGATGCAGGGAGCAGGGTGGTTCTGCAGAAGCCAACAGGAAGCTCATACTGCATTAATAAGTGAGATAGGCCAACCGTAATTACTTACAGCAGGGTCGTAATTCCTAAAGACATTTAACATTTTCAGCCTCCAAGGTACACAATGTTTTTGTTTAATAGAGATAATGGAAATACAAAGCTGAAATCTGTGATTTTCAATACACTTGTGAGTTAATAAATGTCTAATTTAATAATGATAAATAAAGATGATGAAGGATTAGATTAGAATTAAATATGCTCTGCTGTGTAATAGAAAAGTACACACACATGGAAACACATGAGATTTCTGTCCTTGACTCTTCATTGACCTCTCTCCTTATCACATAGTTCAACATTTTGGGAAATATGCTTATATAATTTCTGGTGAAGAGTTAAGTGAGAAGACTGATACCACTCTCGTATGTGTCTGTCTGTTGATTATGAGGCTACAGGTTGGCTGGGGATTTTGCAGTGATTTAACAAACAAGCTATACAACCCACTTGCCATAAAAAAATGTTGGAACTGTACATTTTTGCAAACCATGGATACTCTACATTTGCACATTATTATGCAGTGGATACTTTGAAACTTTACTTTTACATTTAGACACAAAAAACACTTGGTCATGGTTAGAAAAAGATCATTGTTTTGGTTTAAAATACTCAGTTTTTGGGGCACAATCCACACTAGAAAATCAGCAACATCTCTGTAAAAAAACATTTGCTTTTTGTGCCACTATCACCACTGGAAACACACTGACTGAAAGCTACAAAACACTCATATTTGGTGCACAAAAAGCTGCTGGAAACACAGTGACTGTTTGCTACAAAACACCCCCATTTGATGCTCAAAAACTACTGGAAACAGTTACTGGTTGCTACAAAACACCCCCATTTGATGCTCAAAAAGCTGCTGGAAACACAGAGACTGATTGCTACAAAACACCCCCATTTGATGCTCAAAAAACTGCTGGAAACACAGAGACTGGTTGCTACAAAACACCCACATTTGATGTTCAAAAAACTGCTGGAAACACCACAATGACTTGCCAAATCACATTATCAGTATCAGTATCAGTAGCTACATCAGTATTGTTATTGCTTATTGTTGGTCTCAATCAATGGTCTGCAGCTTGGCAGATGCCTCGCCTAGGTGACACGTCATCCACCGGCCCATCCACCTCTTAATAACAGTCAGCTCATATGCTATGTACTTTAGAAATGTTGATATGATACATATGACGTGCAAATGCAGCGTATTCGTGGATTGCAAAAATGTACAGTTCTGACTTTTTCTTCTGGCAACTTGGCTGAGATAGTGCTGGTTAGCAAACTTAATTACCTTCAGACAAGGCCAGCTCCTGGCTGCAGCTTTATATTTAACACCCAGATATGAGAGTGATATCAATCTTCTTATCTTACTTTCCGTCAGAAAGTGGACAAATGTATTTCTCAAGATGTTAAACTATTTCTTTGACCGTCAGCACAACATAGATGCCTGAGATCAACACCTAAACTCCCCTTGACTTTACAAAAGGTTGAACAATAAATCAGCCTCTTGAACAAGTGAAGAGCAGCCAAAATTTGCTCACTTTTGAGAAGATTGAAATTAATAGCTTCTTTAAAAAAACAGAGCACACAATAGAAAGACTTCCTGCACACATGTACGCTAAACTCTGTTTGTTCTGAATGCAGGCCAGGACTGTGGGTGTGAGCAGGGCAGGGATTAGAATGTGAATGTTACATCCATCAAATATCCATATTGAAAAGGACACAATACGCTGCCAAGGAGCAAAGTTTGCTAAGCTATCTGCCTATCTAATACTAACTTTCACTCCCAACAGAATCAGCATGGCATACAGAGGTCCTGCCTATGGTTTAAGCCGGGAGGTACAGAGTAAGATTGATAAGAAATATGACCCGGAACTGGAGGAAAGGTTGGTGAAGTGGATCGTCAAGCAGTGTGGCGTAAGCGAGCCTGAGCCAGGAAAGGTCGGATTCCAAAACTGGCTCAAGGACGGATGTGTGAGTATTGGGGTTTGCATAAGTGTAAATACATGACAGCAGTGTAATTCAAGTTGTGTGCATTAGAGTGATCCTCTTCTTTTCTGTGTGCCTAGGTGCTAGGTGAGCTCATCAACAGCTTGTATGCATCCAACAAGCCGCTCAAGACCATCAAGGGCTCGACCATGGCGTTCAAGCAGATGGAACAAATAGCTGTGTTCCTCAAAGCTGCTGAAGATTATGGAGTCACCAAAACTGATATGTTTCAGACTGTAGACCTCTTTGAAGGTAAGACAACAGTTCATTGTTTTGCAAATTTACCACAGTATAGTCTAGGAAATAAAGTTGTAGACAGTGGTTGAGTGCACAGGTCGCTGTCTCTTCCCTGTATTTGGTGTGTGGTCGGTTCATGTGGGATTGTTGCATGTCTTCAGGCAAGGACTTGGCTGCTGTCCAGAGGACCCTGATGGCTCTGGGTAGTCTGGCTGTCACAAAGGAAAATGGGTGTTACAAAGGAGACCCCAGCTGGTTCCATAAGTGAGTTTGAATGCCCCCCTCACATGTGAACTAGTCTCTCTGTGAGAAATTGGTAAAACAAAGCAGGTTTCATTTAAGTGCTGAGGAATGAGACTACAGACTGAGATGTTTTATCTGTATGTGTGCAGGAAAGCCCAAGAAAACAGGAGAGAATTCTCAGATGAACAGCTGAGCGAAGGCAAAAATGTCATAGGCCTACAAATGGGCACAAATAAAGGAGCATCTCAAGCTGGAATGACGAGCTATGGACGACCAAGGCAGATCATCAACAACCCCTGAATCAGAGCAGTGATTCAACCCTCCTCCCAGACACTCCTTCTTCTGCCCTCTGAAAGGCCAATGAAGATGGAGAAGCTCTGACTCTTACTTTGGCCATAAGGAGAAATGTGACCTGACTGTTTTTTACGGCTAAACTGGACCAAAACAGGGACCAATGAGAACACGTACTTCATGTTGAGCACATATACATACAGCAATACTTTAACAGTGCAAATAAACAATTAGACAGCATTTTGAATAGTAAATTGTAAATTAGACTTTTTTCTTAAAGAATTATTCCAGTTGTTTTGCATGTGTTAACACAATACCTAAAAATTAAATGTGCGAGATTTTAGATTTCAGAGGTTTCAGTTCATTATACCAATCAATTTGCAGACTTGTAACTTGCTTTAATTTAGTACTCCTTCACATTTACATATGCACATAGGAAACAGGAGGTTTAAAGGTTCTCTGCAAGAAAAAATTTGAGCATCAAACACTTAATTTTATGCATTTTGGTGAATTTCTATGCTCCAATGTGTGGTGTAAATGTCTGTAATTTTTTCAAAATAAAAGTCCTCTGCCACTTTAATGTTTTAATTGGGGAGGGGGAACAAATGCACCAGTTCTAAATATAGAGGGGAGGTTTTCCAACCCCCACCCCAAAATCTACACCTATGCCATCAACATGTAGTAGCTTTACTCTTTATTTCAGCCTCTATATAATTGTTATTACAGCATGCACTTTCAAAACTGCATTCAAGGACACTACGATATCTGACATCTGAGAAATTTTAATGGATGAAACAACCATATCCATTATTTATGTTTCACAGTGCCCTTGTTTGCTTTTTGTTCATCTCTAAGCATTGCTTTTCTGACAATGTTGCTATCAATTCTTGGATGTGAGGCAGTACTTGAATGCACCGCCAAGGAGAGTTTTGAAAAGGTACCCTGCTCACAACTACAACACAACAATTAACAACAACAAAATTAATGATAATGAGGAAAAAATAACTAATTGTTAAATGTAATTACATGATCTCAAGCAAGTTTCAAGTGCCATTTGTTGTGTATTGGAAGAAACTGAAACAAGTGGCAGCCTGGACAGTAAGAAGTGGAGTGTTGTGGGTTTATGATAATTTGAATTTAAAGGTCACATACTCAAGTCATTTTAGAAAGTGAATTGCCAAGTTTAAAACTGTTTTAAGAAGAACATAAAATACAGTCATGTGTGTTTTATTTGCTCCATAACACAATCTGTAGTCAGATGCTCTGAGTTAACTCATTATCATCAAGACGTCGGCCCTTCTTTTTAGAGTTTAATACATCATATATAATGACAATGATTTTGAATAAAGTTCAATTTACCTGTTAAGAAGTCTCCTGTGTGGTGAATAGATTAACTTACATAATAGTAGGCTTTGTCCTCATCTACTGATAACAATATTGATCACACTCTGTGCAGAGTCAATGTGCTGTGTGTGGTTGGTCGAATAGCCTGGTGGCACCAGGTGAACAGTAAAGGGATTAACTAATGTACATAGCAACCAATAACAATCATGTAAGAGTTTCTGCAGGTAACTATAGTAGCACAACACTCGGCCTTGTTTGCTTTAAACCTGAGCTGTACTCCACACAGAGATAAGCAGATGCAATAAAGTGTGTAGAAAGAAGACAATGTGCCCAAAGGTGGGAGGAGAGAGAAACTGATGGGAGGGAGTGATGATGGGTGGGGATAAAGCCTGGATTTTTCCTGGCTGGGCTTTGCCTGGTTGGATGGAACAAGAGCAATGAGGGGGATTCAGTGGAGGACTATCACTGTCTCCTGCCAAGATTGTGTTTATACTGTGTTTTTGCTTGAGTACAGACTAAGCTGTTCAGCATGAACTGACTCAGAAAAAGGCCAAAGAGGGAGAAGAAAAGCAGGAAGGAGAGGACAGAGAAACAATTAAGTTAGGTTTGATGAAAGAAAGATTATAAGCAACAACAGGAAGAAGTACTACTTTAAAAAAAAAAAAGCACAGGACATTGAGGTGGTTGGGGTCAGAAGGAGAACAGGTCAAGACAGAACAGTGGACATAAGAATTCACAGAGCATTTCCAAAAAAGGAGTGATCATTGCAGAGGGAGGGCAAACAAAAGGACTTCCTTTTCCTTTTCCTTCTTATTCTTGGTCTGGTAACAGGAAGCTGTGTGTATAAAGCTTTTACACAGAGAGGTTAACTGGTATATTGTAAATTTACAAGGAACAAGTACAGATTTAAACAAATAAAATCAATATGGTAAATACTTATGTCCAAGTAGTGGCATATTCTTTTTATTTATCTCATTATTATTTTCTATAATCCATTATTTTCACAATAAAAGCATTTGAAAACTGCTCCTCTAGATGCTTGATCACTGCAGTCAGGCTTATATTAAACACCTCATGAATGCTTATTAGAGCAGCTACTCGCCTCTGATGGAGCCACATTACTTGCTCTTTACAATGTAAAGAGCACTACTGTTGATGCTGTCGCTGTCGTCTCTGCTGGACGGCTGCTGTTTTTCTCAGCTGCAGTTTAGATAATCATAATTGCCGAAACATGTTTATTATTTCAACACTAACATTTATTTCAACACTTGAAGGCTGGTGTGCTTTGGCATAAGTGAGCTCCTTGGATCTCAGACTGCTCAACACATCTGTTCAAGTTTATCTCGAGGGTCCATCAACATCACATGCCAACTTTGTGTTCCTGCAAGACATTTTTACACCGGAACTCTGGTTCCTTTTTTCTGTTTGTCAACAGTATCCACAACAAACATCACTGCCAAAATGCTTAGGTCAAGACATACACATATCTCATAAGGTGCAAGGCAGATCAGACTACTTAAGTCAATAAAATAGAGCAGATTTAAATAGAATCATCTACTTGTATTCATATTTGACCTTTAAATGATTTATATATTTGCTTTTTTGTTGGTTTAATTGCCATGAAGCACTTTGTCATCACTGGAGGATCATTATATCAAGGACACTCAATCATCAGAAATGCATTACTCTGTTGTTTCATCACTTTTCATCTCTAAGGAGATAAAAGCTGATGTGGCGAGACATGTGATTCTTTTATCATGAGCCTAATTGTGTCAGGAGCACTGCTGCACTGATGACTGTCAATTCATCATTTATTGACTAACTGAGTTAATAACCTTTAGCATACATAATATAATCACTGACTTTTCAGTCTTATCAGCTATTGTTGCAACTTGCTAATGATGAATTTATAAATTACTTAAGTGAATCATGATTAGTTAAAGGAGCAGTGTGTAAGCTTTAGGGTGGTTTAGTGGCAGCTAGCGGATGGGACTACAGATTGCAACCAGCTGCAACTTTTCCTCGTTAGAATTCCTTCAGTGTTGATTGTTTAGGAGGTTTTAACCAGGAGCTGAAATCTGCAGAGGTCTCTTTGTCACCAAAACAAACAGACCATGTGATTAAAACCACTTAAATCACTCAATAGATGAGTTTCATGTTACAAATCAGTATTTCTTCTCAATTTTTGGCAAGTTGCAGACAGGTTGCTCACCCAGAACCTGCTACTGTGTGCTTACCTATCTTCTCTGATAATTCAGTGTGTGCTCACCTTATTTCTGATGCATACTTTAAGGAGGTTTTTACCAGGAGTTGAACTGTACTCAGAGGTTTCCACCTCTCCACCACTTGAACTAATAAAAACACTGAAAAAGCAGGGCGCCAAATCTACCATGTGAGCTAGTGGGCACCCTGCATGCACAAAGACTATGTCCTTGCTGCTGTGGGCTCAATTCGTACCCCCGGCTCTTTGCTGCATGTTTTCCCCTTTTACTCTAAAGTTTCCCTGTCCAAAAAAGGCAAAATGCTCCCCCCCAAAATAGTTATCTATAAACACTGAATAAAGCGGTATCATGTTTTTCAAATTCAGTGTTTTTCTGATGCTCCTATCGCAGAGGGGCTTCTAGCTACAATGGCAGACACGAAAATGTGAAAGGCCCTATCTATAGCTAGTGTTTGATTTGTCCGTTCTTGGTTGCTGTAGAAACATGTTGATGCAACATGGCAATGACCCACTCCCTGTATAGATATAAATGGCTTATTCTAAGGTAATGAAAACACAACAATTTGTATGTCCATGTGATTACACACTACAGCAAATACACTCACTATGTTATATTTCATCTCTGCCGATATATCCCCCTCAATCCTACAAACTGAACCTTTTAGGATTTATTAATGATTAATTGGTCATTTGAGACTTGAGATAATAAAACTACAATCCCTCTCTGTTTTATATAAGAAGAAGAAGAAGCTTTATTGCCATTGTACACACGATACAACGAAACTTTGTTTGGCAGCAATTCCTGTAGCAGCTACCGTATTTCGAGTGTCTTAAAAAAAAAAATTAAAATCAGAAGTGTGCAAAAGAGGCAGTTATAAATATATAATCAATAAATATATATAAAGTGTGTAGTGCAGGGGAGCAAGTGGTCCAGTTACTGTCCTTGCAGCAATCTCTTCACAGCCATGTATAGTTAAATTAAGTCCTTAAAGGTCCAGTGTGGATTTAGTGGCATCTAGCATTGAGACTGCAGATTCCAGCCAACTGAAACCTCTCCCATGTGCCAAGCGTGTAGGAGAACTACGGTGGCCGACACGAAAATGCAAAAACACAAACTGACCTATCTAGAGATAGTGTTTAGTTTGTCCATTCTGGGCTACTGTAGAGACAACATGGCAGGCTTCGTGGAGGAGGACCAGCTCTGTATGTAGATATGAACGCATTATAAGGTCACATAAACGCAACAATTTTCAGGTTAAGGTGATTATACATAAATCAAAAAACATAGTTATTAATATTATATTCCATATATGCAAATATATCCTCATAACTTCTACACACTGGGCCTGTAACTTTATAAAGTAGTTACTACAGTAGAGCTAGACTGTATTCTTTTACATTGAGGAATGAGGTTTTGGAACTTCCTCATTTCCACCTCAAATTGGACATCACTTGACTTTGAGGTTGAGCATCCAGGTAGAACTGATAAACTCGTAATTCCCTTCTGGTCTGCCAGTGTGGAAGGCAGCTGAAATTAATGAGACTGAAAAACACATTTAAAACATTTCCCAAACAAGCCAAAACAAATATATCACTCTGTGCTCCCCTTTTTTGTTTTTTATCTCAGAGTCTCGACATTTTAAACATTTCCACAGCTAATTTCCTAGCAGCTCCGTGGTGCCCGCCGGTTTTGACACAAGAGCTATTTTTTTTCATTCCATCAGGGTTAAAATGAAAGCGTGGAAACACCAACGCACCACTGGCCTCACTGCAGTGGAATGTACTTTGCTACCATACAGGGGCATAACAGGGGCGACGATTAGCCTTGAGGTTGAAGAAGTGGCCTTATGACTGGAGAGGTGCCAGTTTGAATCCTTAGACTGTCTGTGAACATGTAATTGGGGAAGCTAATACCTTCTGCCACCACTGTGCTGTTGAGCAAGGCTAGGGGGGTGGAGGCTCCATTAGAGGGCTGAGTCCATTAACAGCCAAGAAGGTTATTTGAAGGTCAAGTTCTCAAAATTAGTTTTCAGTTGTGTCTCAAAAGGAAGGATCCAGCCTTGCACTTGAAAACAGAGGTAGAGGAAAAGAACATTTTTCACCAATGTATGCACCATAACAGGCACATAATGGGCTCCTAATGTTTAACATTTTTCCACCAACTTTATGAACCAGACAGGATGAACTTAAGTAGCCAGGTCCAGATCTCAAGACTCAAGTCAAAGAAATGGCCTTTCAGTCTGATTAGCAGACTAGAACTAATTAAGGCATCTGAATGACAGAGTGGAAAAAGACATGGTTTCAGTCTCTGGCAGCGGTGTCTCGCTTGGCCAGTAACATAACCAGTGACACTGTGTTCCCAAGAAGGACGACAGCATCAGACATTTCATTTGTGTCCCACAATGACATGTTTAAATTCAATTGACAAATGGCTGATAATGGTGTCAGATCGGAAAATGCTTCTATGAGTTGTTCTGGAGGGTGTGGACAAACTTTGGTGTTTCATTTGGAGGATTTGCTGTAACTTGGCAGTGTTGGTGAGTGGGAAGCCAGCTGCAGCATTAGGCTGCATTCACACCGAATCAAGCGGAGGGGATTAGCCACAGGGTTGTGCGGCAGTGTGGGAGTGTCACTTATACGGCGGAGTGAAAGGTACAGAACAACTTTAGAGAGCCAGTTTCTTCATCTCGTTGACTGAGTATTTGTCTTTGGTAGGTTTGTTTATGTTGGCTTGTAAGATCTATAGAATTCCTTTTGATTAACATTACTTTAGTATCTGCTCTGTCACAAATGACACCATG